TTTATTCTTGTTGTCTTGTTGATTAGCACAACGAAGATCAACGAAGTGATATCTTAGACAAAGAATTGGAGCGTATACATCAACGAACTGCTAGGAGGAAAGTTTGACGTTTCCGTTCACACACGCAGGTGGAGTGAAACCTGGATTGGTTTTTATGGCTTAACTGAGGAGCGAGTGTGCATTACTTTGTGGTGTGAATGCAAACTTGGGACTAAAACTAGTGCCACTGCGCAGGGAATACTGTATTAAGTGCCAGTGTGAAAATATAGTATTTTTGGGTAAAGTTATTTGGGTAAACTAAAGACACAGTTCAAACTTTTTTTTATTTGTTCATCCAAATGATGGTTTCACCTAATATATTCCGTGGACTAGGGTTACAAAGCATTTAAAATGTCACTTTTGATTTCCTCGTGATACCAAATACTATATACTTAAATATAACATTAATTTGAGAGCATTTCACAGGTTAAAAAAAAAAGTGTTTTATATTTAATAAATTGATCAAATATTTATTTCAAAAGTATGTATAGAGAATAGTCTTCTGTTGCCTATTTGCTGTGCATTATAGAAAAGCCTCCTAGTGAGCTCTGTCACTGGTCTTTCAATGTCTTGGCCTACACAGGGGTAAATAACTTGTGTTGTCCCAGTGCTGTTTTACCCGACGTAGCTCCATCCCTTGGTCAACAGCATTCGTTTTGCGCTTCAGCGAGCCAGTGGCCAGAGCGCAAGCTGCCTTCCTTCCCTTTCTATTTCCACGGAGCAGTAAAAGGGACGAAGCCGCAGTATGTCATATCGCGCTGTTCTGTCTGCTTTGACAAGTTGTCAGACACAGTATAAGTACAATTACCCTCCACCCCGCGCGCCCGTTCTCTTCTGCATCCCGTTGACAACGTCCTGCACATGCAGTCCTATCCTGTTCCTCTCCATCACCTCCTCCTCCTCCTCTCCCTGCTTCCTGCCTGCAGCCTCCATCCTCATCTCCACTGTCCTGCCTCCTGAAATATGGTTTTTAATAAAGGCGCGGTAAATGGCTGCTCTGCCAGCAATAAAAATGAAGGATCTTAGGCTCTTAGCTGAGGAGTGTCTTGGGAAAATAAGAATGCAGTGAGACAGTGTTCTAGCCTGGCAGTCCTCGTGACCACATGAGAAAAAAGGTGAATAAGAAGAGGGTGGTGGGGGGTTGGAGGGATACAGAGATAGAAGATGAGGAGAAACAAAAAGAGAAGGAGAACGAAAACAAGAGACACGGGGAGAAAACAACACGATTAAAGTTCATTTAAGATATTTGTGTGGCGTTTTCTGTATTGGAAACGCCCGATTGTGTAGCATGTGAGTTAAAATGGCATGAGGCTACACAGGGGGCTGATGGGTTAGGACTGGGGTGTTTGTACGGGTTGTGTTAAAGGCGCTCATTTGCATTCACAACAGTGACCCCTCCTGCCACCATCTGCATAAAGATGAAGGACAGAGAAGGAGAAGATGCAGAGATGGTTTCAACGAAGAGGGAAAGAAGTCTGGACAGATGCAGAAAAGACGAGAAAAAGAAAAGGAACGCTGTCATTTGACTTTTGCCTGAAGACAAATGAAAAGTCACTGTTCAGTGAGGTTATTGTTTCATCTGATCAGGCGTTGGGATAAATACTGTGTCATGCATATTTACTGTTTATAAATATATGTGTTACAGATTTAGAAGGCAACACCTTTCGATGCAGGCTGTAATTCCTGTGTAATGTTAGTGTTTTTCAGTTTTCACTGCCAAACTGCCAGGAGGTAAAGAGGCCCATCTTTCACCAAACAAAGAGACTAGACCTAAATCGATGCCTAAAAACTGCTTATTAACGATGAAAATTATTGTATGAACCCTTCTTGTTTTTTGATTGGCTCAGGAAACACATTTCAATAATACCCAATTACATTAAAAATGTTAAAATGTATATTTACTCATATAAACTAAACATGCTTTATGCTTTAAAAACATGCGCATGTCGCACCGGAATATAAGTCGCACCAGTGCCCTCTCGCGGCTGACAGTGTGAAAATAACGAACCCGTACATTTTCAGGTACTGGTACACAAGCCTAGAGTGCCCTCTAGCGGCTGCCAGTGTGAAAATAACAAACATGTGAAATTCTGTATTTTAATATATAAGTCGCACCTAAGTATAAGTCGCAAACCCAGCCAATGGACGACGGTATATGGTTGCGCCTACACTCTATAGAATTATATTCATATATATTTTTTATTAATTTTATAATTTCATAAATATTTTAAAACTGTTCATGATCTAGCAGTACTGGTAATGACTGTTGTTAATAACATGATCATGAAGATAAGGTGTATGGTTGTATATATATACATATATATATATATAACTACACTTGAATTATATTCATATATATTTTATATTAATTTTATAATTTCATAAATATATTAAAACTGTTCATGATGTACAGCTAAACACGATGATCAGCTAAAGATTATTGCGATCATTATGCGTTCCCTAGGTTGTATGGGTGCCTTCATTTCAATATGCTTCTTTTTTCCAGCTCTTCCACAAATAATATCAGCTGTCTCCATCCCCAACATCCTTTACCTAAAGACTCCAGCATCTCTCCTCAACGCATGTGCATATCATGTCAACCTCACCTCTCTAACTTTATCTCCAAACTGCTCCATCTTAACTGTCCCTCTGATCTGCTCCTTTCCAGTCCTGTCCATTCTGATCTCTCCCAGCGGGAGATCTTATAAACCTTTGCTTTCAACTTTGCTGCTATTCACGCCTGATGCTCGTCTCCATCCGTTCCCCCCTGCCTGCATCCTTTTTTCCAACTCTTTTCTGGAGTGTCCATTACTCCGGATGATTGACCCTAGGTATTTATCTCATCCACTTTTACTACCTCTAATCCTAACAGCTTTATCTTTTCACTTCTTTATCTTTCCGCTCACCTCACTCTCGTTTACAGATGTATTCTGTCTTGTATCCGTTAACCTTCAATCCTCTTCGCTCCGAAGCAAACTTCCTTAGGTTTCCTTCCACCTGCTCCCTTTTTTCACCACATATAACATAAGGCACCAGCAGCAGCAAAGCTGAAAATCGCAACTCCTTAGAACCTAAAAAAAGGGTAGCGTGGAAAGTGTTTGACTTTCCATCGAAAAACAGGAAAAGAATCACTCGACTATAGGTAGACCGCCTAGCCCTACGAGAACACGCCTATATTCCATGCTCTACTAGGTGTACGCAGAACTGTTAATAGAGGGCAAGGAGCCCTGTGTAAAGCAGGCAATAACCCTGAGGGGTGTGTTTATATATATATATTACCCACACCACTATCTTGGACCCATCAGTCAATCTGGTAGCACAGCTAACTACTGTGTCACTGGGGGTGTACGACTCTCACATACTTCCCTGCTACTCCCGACTGTCACATACAGTGCCTCAGTTCCTCCCCGACTCTCCTCTGAACTCTCGTAACCCCAATTTGCTGCAAAGTAATTTTCAGGTTCAAGTTGGAACCTGAAATTCAGACACATTTGATGACTTAAAAAAAAATAAAACTGCCTGTAAACCCACCTTCGTTTAGCTCATTTGCAGCTAACTGTAGCCCCCAAGATGTGGCTGCGTGTACAAATACTAATATTCTTTTACATTAGTTGAGTTAAATACAAACGCTAGTCCACTTTGAGTAACACTTCATACTGCTTACTATTTATAATGATAGGATACAAGTATACAAAGTTGTTGAAAGTAACCTTGCTCTGTCAAGAACAGAAAAAAGAACCTGGTCTTTTTCGGAACAAACTTTTGTATTTTTTTATCTCAATAGACTGATGTTGATACCAAATGCATCGAAGCTCACGGTTATTTATTAATAATTGAAATCTTTCCTGACTTACCATCTTCCGTGGGTACGTATATGTTGAGGTAAAGACAGTCCTCGCTCTGGTTCTGAACGTAGTTCGCTGCGGCATCAAGATTGTCTGTAAACCACACTGGTAACATGATCTCCGGTAAAACTCCGTGCACATTCTGGGGACAGACTGGAGCAAACTGGGTGGCGTTGCGGATCTCCTGCCAGGAACCAGGAGCTTCAGGAGGCTGAAAGCGACGTTCACCAACGGGTGCAGTGGCGTATGGCACACCTAAGAACTGTTCCACTGGACCCAGGATCTCGTTGCTGAGCTCTTTTCGTATTCCACGGACCTTCCCGTAGCCTGTGGCCACTGTGGGGTATTTTAGATCGACCCGTTGGCATGAGGAAAGGGTAAAGTGTAGGGCCAGTCCCAAAAGCCACACCATGCAAAGATTAGCCATTTGCTGTGAGGTGTAATGATGCTTCCAACCATAACAGCAGTGGCTGGCAGTACTGAAAGCAAAAAACAACATGTCCAAAATAAAGAGTCCGTTTAAGATGACTTGTACTTGGCTGGGTGTAGTCAGGGACTAATTCAAGGAGCTAAAGTGGACAACAAAGGCAAAAAGACCAGGGACACTGTGACAAAGGACCGTTGTCCTAGGCCAGCATGGTAATGTTTAGGGTCACGTAGCATTCTCAGGTAGACTCTGCAGTGTCATCTGCCTTTCTTTACAGAACCACTCTGTTGATCCAGAGCTGCAGTCAGTGAGACGTATATCTGAAAGACAGAAAGAAGAGAGAAAAAACAAGTAAGTTTGGGTGAACTAGACTAACAGGAAACATTTTAGCGGATGAAAAACATACCTTACATAACAATTATTAGTACCGTATTTCCGAACTTTAAGTCATAATTGTCTCAGGGTTGCGACTAATAGATTAAAATATATAATTTCACATGTTTGTTATTTTCACATTAACAGCCACTAGAGGGCACTCTAGGCTTGTGTACCAGTATCTGCTACTGCTCTAACACTGAAAATGTATATGTTCGTTATTTTCACACTGACAGCCACTAGAGGGCCCTCTAGCTTGATAGTGTGACTTATCCACGGAGCAACTTATTAATGTTTTTTTTTTTTTGTTCTTACACATTTTTTGGCTGGTGCGACTTAGCCCGGAAAATACAGTACATCAGGTAATGACTTTTGTCAAAATAAAAACAACCCACTATGATAGGAGTGACCAATACTGTACAGTAACCAGGTGTGACAAGGAGTTTAATAATAAAGGTTTCTAAGTTTTTGGAGCCGACAAAGTAAGCCGTGTAAAGGGAATTGAACACATTACAAACTAATATGTTATGTTTCATATGCGGTCTGGCAACAGGTGACAACAAAACCAGAGAAATAGCTCCTTGTAAATTAAAAAGGGATTTCGAACAACAACTAAATGGCCGTTCTGTGCAAAGACGAATGAATCGGTTCCAATTTTTCACACAGACACATTTCAGAGCTTAAGTTTTGACTGAATCATTCCCCAAGCACAACTGTGAAAGCCAAGCATATGGTTCATAATCTTGATCAATGTTACACTAAATGTATTTTGTTGCCTTATGCTGTAACGGAAAAACCAAGAACTTGGTAGTAAGAACTAGAAGGGTCTTCAAGGGTTTTGCTTTTTATTACTGCAAATAGAGCTCTTCAATGAAATGGGTGTTTTGATCGGTTAGATAAAATTTAAATTTAAATTAAAAAAATTCGTTAAAGCTGTACTACTATCCTGTAGCGTTCACAACATAAATGCAAGCACGTGGACACATTTTTTTTAAGAGGAATGAACCAGGAAACCCTGCTCGCCGCCACATACTTCTACAGCTGTCCACACTGTGTCAGTGTAAGCTGTTACTTCCCGCCTCAGTTCAGCTGGTTCTCGCTTTCAGATCATCACAGGTGAATGGGCAGTGCTTATCACATTCTGGCTTTAGGAGACAGAGCCGTTTAGGTGTGATAAAGGCTTTATGTGCTGCAATCAGTTGGTTGAAACCCACCTAATCCCCCCTGAGCCCCGCAACATCACGCTCTGCCAGCAACCGGCATAAAAACGGAAGGCGGTAAAATACAACAGGGTTAAATTAATAATGTAAGCTAGGTGCTGTTTGACTAAAATACAAACCAGCCCGACAGCTCATGGCCTTTGGGCAGCCCATGTCCTCTGGGTAGCCAATGGCCTTTGGGCCTCCCATGGTCTCTGGGCAGCTCACGGCCCCTGGGAAGCCCCATGGCCTTTGGTCAGCCCATTGACTTTTGGGCAGCCTGTGGGGAGGGATTGGGCTAAAAAGTGGAGGATTGACAGTCAAACCCTCATCCTGGCTGGACGGTAGTGTTTTTTTCCCCGCAAGACTCTCTGTTCCACAGGAGCTCTAGCAAAATGAAGCTCACAACTCAACACAAACAATGGCACGGTTAACAGAATTTATCAAGAACCTCTTTAAAAAAGCTGATAAAAACCTAAGAATTTACAAGGATGTGAGACCCTATAAAACATTCCCGTCTTTGTCTTCATCCGGTCCCAAAGAGCGTAAAAAAGAAACTCCCTAAACCTATTTTACTCTAAAACATGGCTGGTCCCAAAGAGCATAAAAAAGAAACTAAAAATCTAAACCTATTTTACTCTAAAACATGGCTCATTTTGAGGCCATGTGACTGAAAAGGTGTAAAGATGATTCAACCATCGGATATGATCCACCTAAATCAAACTATCTGTCTATTACACCTCCTAATCAAATCAATAATCACAACATTTGCGCTACTGTGTATCACACGGAACTCATAATTAAAACCAGAAAGCATTTAGAAAACATTACACAAATATATCTTTGTTTAAATCAAATACAAGGTGATATTTTTCTTTTTACAATTTTGTTGTGAAACAAAATTGTTGTGAAATTGCTGTAAAATCGTAATATTACTAATGTAAGCCTGGGCGGGCTCCAAACGACTATGGCACAGCAAGTCAATACTGCTTAAATTGTTAGAATGAATATTACAAACAAACCCAAACGTAGCCATGATTTGTAGATTCTCTCTCAGTCTGTGCACTTGTTGGTTGCGAGGTATAAATTTAGTGGCTTTGTAAAGCCCCAAGGACCTGTTGTAAATCAAGAGGTCCAAGCAACCTCAGAGAAGCATGGAACTCATGTAAAATACAACACACCATAATTACACTCTTACAGTCATCAGCAGCCACAAGAGGCAGAAAGGCCAATGTCCGCAGCTTTAAAAAAATACTATTTTGTGAACGCTTTATTGCAGTAATGGAAAGGGAAACAGTGAGATCAACAGTAATCGATTGATCCTACATCAAATTCAAAATCAAATAAAACCAAGGATTAGATCAAAAGTCAAAACCGATCAAATCGAGAAAAATGATTAACTGTATCAAAATAAGAACGAATAAGAAAAAAACGATTAACTGTATCAAAATAAGAACGAATTAAATCAGAAATAAATTTGACAATTAATAAAAAGGCTTTGGCCCAAAGACCAAATTTACCACAAATTACCACTGGAGAGTTATAGT